GATTACCTCGCCCAGCCACAGTTCACGGTTAGCCAGGATCATCCTTTCATATATATCCAAGTCCCAGTCTTCGAGAGGAGTCAAACCAAATTCAAAGAGGATTTTCCCCTGTATGAGTGAAACTATGAAAACAAAGCTAAATATCACCTACGATGCTCAGAACATAAAAGTTGCTTAGAAAGTGAAAGAACTGATTAGACACTGAAATAGTGAGAATCTAGATGGAAAATGTACAGGCAACTATGGTAAAAGTAGTAAAAGCTGATGACTAATAGCCTGGTAACTTCCATCTAAAAAGAAATGAGATTGCATTACAAGTATTAAGAAAAACAAACAAATAAAAAAAAAAAAAAAGGCTGCACAGTTCATCAAGACTTGTTATTCCCCTCCCTTCGGAAAAATAAAATCACATTCTGAGATGTTTGTCCTTCCTCAAGTTGCAGTATCACAACATCGAATTAAATGCTCTAACTTTTTGTGTCCAACAGATGATTTAGTCTTGGCTAAGAAACACGTCAGATGAGCAGAAAGCCTCCAATATATCATAAACAGTAAGCCCTATACTTTTCATACAACACAAAATTTTACCCTTGCAGATGGTTTTCCAGCCAAAAGGCTATACAGGCATATGTTACAGTGATAAATTTATCTAGTCAAAAGTTTAATAATAATTTCACTGCTCTACTGACATAAGAAGACACAAAGTACAATATGACCCCTTGAACATTTGAATGCAAAAGTATTTTCCAAAACTGTACTCAGAAGATAACTTTGCTTAATACTAACCACGGAAGATGAATTAAAGGAGTGCTCAAAACATTTATCAAGCCAATAACATTTGGCACACAACCCGATAAGCTTTTGCTCTGTAACCTTAAAAGAGATATTATTTCCCACTGAACATGTGTCAGTCCAAAACGGCTAAGTATGGCATCCTTAGCTCTGATATCACACAGTGATGATATAGCATCACCGTCTCTGTTGTATCAATATTGATCCTGTCACTAAGACAGATGTAAAACAGCACCTTCTGACCACTCAACTCAAGCCCCTTCAGTAGTGCGAACCTCAAAACAGCAGATCTCATTGTGGACTTCCAAATGGAGCCTTGCCTGCACATAACCTCCCAGCTGGGACCTGCCCTCAGTCTGACAAGCTCAAGGTTTCTGTTCTACTCAAACTCTGCTGTAATTTGGGCAAGCACAAAACCATTGCCTACAGCTCTGGAAAACATAATAGGATGGGAGGACAAAAACACCTGGATGCATATCTCTGGCAAACCAAAATACAAGACTCCCAGGTCACAGAAAGTAAGCAGTCTAACCGTGTAGCCTAGAAATGAACACTCAACCAACCCTTGGGGTCCTTACTCCTGGTCTGGGGCCACTTACTCATTTACATTTAAAAGTTAATTGAACTTGGCCAACGACACACCATCAACGTGCATTTTCTCTTCGTTAAGTCGATACCCAACCTACGGGCCTTGTGTTCCCTTTAAATAAGGGCACTGGCAATGAACTCCAAGACAGAAAATTACAGGTCTTTTAAGACTGCTTTGGAAACGTGCAGCTTACACGGGGAGAGGTTTCAAGTCCAGACTGGGTCTCTGTGTGCACTGGATGAGAAAAAATGGAAGAGCTTTTCAACCCATTTTGCATCCCTCTTTGCTTCCTTCTTCAGCATGACCAAGCTGCCCTTCTCTAGGCTTCAATTCCTGACCATAAGAGGCACCACAGGCTTCAGCCAGGGAAGGAGTGCCTGCCACAGACCCCTACTCTGATGGGAGGAGCACGTAGGAGCACTCCAGGGCTTCGTTTCCTGATCCCAGTGCCATCACAGTGCAGCACAGCAGGTTAAGGGTTACCAGTGCCACCAGCTGAAGTATCTGTCACGCCTTTCTCTTAATGCAAGCGTGACAAGCAAACTCAACAAATTAAGATGCACATGTGAGATATGAGTCTACCTCTCTTGGCTAAAACAAAGCTATTTGATTTTTATTGGGGTTAATGCATAACCTCTTTGAATTTTATTAATTTTTAATCACTTCTCTCTAAACATCTTAATTTCCTTTCAATACTTGAAGGGGGCTTGTAAGAAAGATGGGGACAGACTTTTTAGTAGGGCCTGTTGCAATAGGACAAGGAGTAACATTTTTAAACTAAAAGGGAGTAGATTCAGAGTAGACACAAGGAAGAAATTCTTTACAATGAGGGTGGTGAAACACTGGAACAGGTTGCCCAGAGAGGCAGTAGCTACCCCATCCCTGGAAACATTCAAGGTCAGGTTGGACAGGGCTCTGAGCAACCTGAATGAGTTGAAGATGTCTCTGCTCACTGCAGGGTGTTGGACTGGATGACCTCTAAAAGTCCCTTCCAACCCAAACCATTCTATAATTCTGTGATTTACTAACAGAAACACAGGATAAGACTGTTGCATTCACACACTTTTTAGATGTACAGGGGGAAGGGTGGGAAAGAAGATTTATGAAGAGGAGGCAGCAACTGCCAGCCAAGTCATGAACACTCCTGGCATGCCCAGGCCCTGAAGAGAGCTGTCACCTTGGCTTTGTTATTGGGTCTTTCTCAGTTCCTCCTGGAGCAGGGATCTTCACAGGTCACTAGGGTACGCTGCATGAGTGCAAAGCCACAGACCCATCTGGCTGCTGCTTTGGGGGGAGGGTGTCAATGCCTAATTAACCCTCCCTTCCAGTATAGCCAGCATGATACTCTTTTCTGTGGTTTTTTGGTAGCTATCTGCCAAACTGCAAAGAAGAACTATTTCAGGGTTAATTAAGTTTGGTTCAAAAGCTTACAGAACGTTGGCAGCAATGCTTTTGTCATTTCTGAGCCTATGAACTCACAATTCTAATAAAACAAACATTTTTATATCCTCCTATTTCTAAGTATAGCTCTTTTGAGTCTACCAGAACTTAAATAAACCAAAACACACAGTTCTCAGCTATTCAAATGAGCTTTGTGGTTTCCAAGCACACCAAGTGCTTGCTGTGAACTGGCTGTACAGAACTGAATGGGAGTTGGAGAACTGGGTCGCTCTTGACTTCTGCGCCATCATGTCGTCTGGTCCTGTCGCAGATGGAGTGAGAGGGAGGCACAAATAATACGGTTTATTGGTGTAAAACAGTGAGTTAACAAAGTTCAGTGATAAATGCAACAACAGTTTATAAGATTCGATGGCAAGGTACACTTTGTTATTTACTGCACAGAGGACAGGGTCAGACAAGACTGTCAGGGAGACCCTCCCATGGAGTCATGAGGTTCAGAAAAGATCCCCTTGCTTTCTAAACTCCCTCAGAGAGGAGTCTAGGTGCGGCTGGATCCAATCCTAGTCCCAGACTTGGTCAACGGTTTATGTCTAAAGGATTATATATGTGCAATCAATCCTTTATGTCACTTAGCTAAGGTTTCAAAGTTAGCATGCTGTTAGTCACTTACCGAGAGTCTGCTGTGATAAGGAATCTCTCAACCTCGAGCAGTAACCTTGAGAGGCGTCCCTGCTCAAGGGGAGATCCTGGCGTGCAGCCCGCTGCCGTGCAGGAGAGCTCAAAGGGCTCTTGGGCTGCTCACTATTTATGGGGGTAAGATAATTGGCTCATAGTCATATTTGCATACTGACCACTGTGCTTAGGTGGGCACATTCCAAAATAGCCCTTGGCTATTGTATTGTTATCTGTCCCCCCACACATCCAGTGGGTGCATCCTTCATGACCAGACACATCTATCACCACAGCCACAGGTGGTTAATCACTTGAAAGAGGTCAAAGGAGGAGGAGTCAGAGACGAGGGGGCAGCACACCACCACAGGTCCACACCATCACAGCAAGCAAGTTGCAATGCATAAAGTTACCTCCATGCGTTCTTCAACAGCTCTTCCTCCAAAGTACACTAATAAAAGGTGAGCTCTCACTGAAACAAAGCAAGTGGCACCAGCCTTGACTCAAGGATCTTGTATGATTTCAGAAAAACAGAACGGAAAAGCCTCCAAGTGTGCTGTGAATGATAAACACTGGGCATTTCTCTAGTGGCTACACTCTCATCAGGACAGTTTAGGACCGCCTGGATTCTCTCACTGTGTCTCTCTCAAACATCTGAACAGGTTCTGCAGATTGTATTTAGTGTTTTTAACTGAAGCCCAATCCCAGCACATCCATTATTTCACATGTTCAATCTCAAAAGAGAAAAATTTCTCTGGCAGCTGTGATTTTATTGACCAGTCTCATATTGCTCATAACAGATTAACAACTCTTCTGCACAGTGGAATTTTATTCTACAAGTGAGCAGGATTTAGTCTTACTTACTGGACTTGTCATTTCTAGAGATCATCATCATCAGGCACGTAAATGGATTTGCCATTTATAAGCATGTTCGCCAATTTAAAAAAAAAAAAAAAGAGGAATGGAAAGTTAATAATTTTCATTTATATTTCATCAGATTATTGCTATAAGTAGTGGCTTCCATCAAAACAGCCTTGACTAATTCCCAACCAATAAATTATCAACAACTGTATTTCTCTGCTTATCATCCCAAATTGTAGTCTTCTTGTCAGTGTCTTCACAAGTGTTACTGACTGTGACCCCAGAAATAATTTTAAAATCAATGACTTCCTGGTAGTCCTGGGTTCCCTGTCACACTCCAGGTGAGAATACACTGTAACTCTAGGATTGCTTTCTATGCCAGTCCAAAATACTTTATTTTCTCTATTAGCATCAATATCCAAAAAACACTTTCATACAACTATGCCCACACTTAACACTAACAACTATCTCAGTACATTCCTGTATGGCAAAAAACTTTAGCTCCATTTTTGTCAAGTATTACCACTTCGGATCTGGAATTAAAGTATGCGTTACTCATAGCTAAACAGTTACTATGTTAAAAGTTTAAAAAAAATGAGTTAAAAAAATTCTTATCTTAAATCACAAGATAAGGCTCAAGATTACAGTTTTATGACTGTAGTCATATGATAGGAATCAACATCCACTTAATCCACTGAAAACTCACACCAGGCTGGCTGGCTCAGAATCTCACAAATGGAAGAATGATACTCCTGAAATGCCTTCTTTCGTCATTGGTGTCAAATCCTGAAGCCCAACACTACAAGAAACCCAAGTGGTGGATGGAGGGGAAAAGCTGATGACAAGCTGCGGAGAGAGAAATCATTTGCATGTAGATGCTAGCCAACAAGCTTATTAACTTTTGTCAAGACTGACTCTTTTTTTTATTTATTTTTAAAAAGTGACATTCATAAGACATGTTAGGTTTGGTACAAGAAGCGTTTACATTAAAAAGTATTTACATAACAGGAAAAGAGAGAGAACATATATCACAGCAGTGGTCCAATTGTTTAATGGTATCAGCCATCTGAAGTTTAGCCTGACAAAATACTTCATACAGAAATGAGCATCACATAAATGGGGTTCTTCTAATTATTAAAGTTCTATGTTGGAATAACAACAGAAACAGAATCAGGTATTAGAAAACTGCCATATAAACATAATTAAATCTCCCTGTGTCACTGTTGTCACACATTATAAAATAGTCTGATTATACATTTTAATGCTCTTTCACTCTCTGCAAGACTTCATCTTGTGTTCATGACAAACAGTGCTCATCTTCTTTTGTTCTTTTCAGGCTTTTTTTTAAATTCCCTGCTTTTTTTCTTCACTGAAATACTTCACTCTTCACAGAATACAGGAATCATTACTTCCCAGTCTCTCCTTACCACGAGACTCTTCACAGCAGTATCCACGTACTTCACAACTGAAGCCCACCTTCCAGTCAGTGGCAGCTGAGTTGGAACATAAAACAGTCGAGACATCAAAGGGTCAGCAATATCCAGAAATCTACAACTCTGGAAAGCTTGAAGCCTTCTACCCATCATGAGCTCCTTCCTACACCCCATCTGTACTGTCACACACTCTTCGGTTCTTCATTCAAGTTTTCCTAGATCTCTTACCCAAATCCAAATCCCCTCCAAAAACCTACATATCCCATTTTCCCCCAATCTCATCACCTAACCAAACTACCTCCCTGTCAAGCAAGACTTTAATCCACTCTCTTTTCCTCCTGCCATCTATTTCCTGGGTGCCTGCCACTACTGTTCTGCCTCCTCATTTTGACTCATATAAACCCAAACTGTTTCCCTCACAGCTCACCAGCCACCAGGCTGCGTCTAAGCAGTGGGCCAGCTTTAGTCCTGTTGTCATTCAGGTCCCACCAATGCTACACCCACTTACAAGTGGCACACCCTGACCTTCCTCCCCTGGCTCCTTGTCCTCTCTCCCACAGCTGCTTCCTGCACTTCAGGGCTCTCTCGTCTCCACTACCAAAGCCACCTTCCTCCTCCAGGCTGCCTGCACCCAGCAAGCACGAGAGAAAGCATCTTCTCCCATTTCCAGTGGCTGACCTGCCTCACCGCTGAAGGGAATAGGTCACACCTAGGCTCGGCCTGTCTTTTGATGCCTAGCAAGTTCCCAAGCGTGCAGAAATAAGGCTTAAGTGGCCAGAAGAACAAGAAGGGCTCCTGAGGTGCGAGATGTGGCACAGCTCCCCTGAGAGGGACGCTCGCCCCCTCACCTCGGGGCCACGGGTATTGCAGGGGCAGCCTCGGCCTTGGCCGCGTACACACGCCTCCAGAGACGCCTGCCGCAGTCCTGCCCAGCCAGCTGCGCCCGCGCTCCAAGCCCATCAGCTGGGAGACGTCCCA